CCTGGGGGGGTGCTGGGGGAGGGGAAACCTTGCCCCCCCCCCAGCCCTTGCCGGTCTGCCCGGGCAGCGGGCCTCTTCCGCAAGACAAGCAGAGGGACTTCCAGCCGGGGGGTGTCGCTTCAGGCTCTTCCAGCCTCTGCACAGTTTGGAAGTGGGGGGCTGCAAGGTCCCTGTCCGTTCAGTTCAGGGCGCCCCCCCCTCTCTCTGCGCTTTTGGGAAGCAGCTCTCTTGCCCCCTTGGAAGGGGGGGGAACGGCCAGTGGCCACCGTGAGCTCGGCAGGTTCTTCTCTTCCCCTCTAGCTGGTGGGGGGGGAGGTGCCTTGCCGGGAGCTGCCTCCCCGTCCCCCCCTACTCTTGGGCAGGTGCTTCCGGGGGGGGCTCCGTGGGAAGGTGTCCCCGTTGTGTCCCCCAAGCTGTTCCCTGGCGTGGGGACTCGGTGGCACCCGGGGACGTCAGGCTGTGCGTGGGGGTGGGGGTGGTGCCGCTCTGCCATCCGGGGAGTGCCCCGGTGCTACTTGTTTGGGGACAGGGTGTTTCGTCAGAACCGGATGATTGCCGCCCCGCCACTCCCACGCTGTGCCGCTCTGGCGCTTGTGCAAGGAGGCCACCGATGACGACACTGCACCTGTGCTGCCTCGGGCGAGAGGGCGGGGGGGGAGCCAGCTCCGTTCGTGCCAGGAGCCCCCACCCTTCGGCTGCCCCCAGGCACACGCACACACTGCCCTGTCTTCAGGGACACACACTTCCCTGTCTTCAGGGACTCACTTCCCTGTTTTCGGGAAGACACTTCCCTGCTTACCAGAGGTTGCCTATCTGACCGGCCCCTCGGTTTTCTCAGTGGCTGTTGGATGGACACTTCTCTCCGCACAACCCTTTTCTCTGCGCGCATCCTCCTGTCCCTTTCCCCAAGCCCTGGGCCAGCCGGCCGGCCCGGTGTCTGCGGCCTGGTTGTGGCACTCCCAGGGGCTTAGCCCGGCCGGCACCCTTCCCAGTACTGCTGGTGGCTTCCAGCCTTCCGAGTTCTGGAGCAACCCCCACCACCAATAAAACTAGGAGCTGGTAAACCAAAGCTTGCCCGGGGGAGGGGGGCAGTTGTGCAGGAAGATCAACAGCCGCAAAAGGGGCTCTCCCGGGCCTGCAGGTGGCGGCCCCCGACCCCTGCGTGCCCGCCACAGCGCCTGACGGCTGCCTCCCCTTCACCCCGGCCACTCACTCAGTGGGGCTGCGCCAGCCGGCCTCGAGAGCAAGCGCTGCTCCAGCCCCCTTTCCACGTCAGTCCGCTTTTCTTGCACCATGGGGGGGGAGTTGCTAAGTAAGTGGTTGCCTTTAAGCCACGCTGGCCCTTCTCTGCAGGGGCTTCAGCCCTTCAGCACCCAACGGGGCCCTTGAATCATAAGAACATAAGAGAGAAGCCCGTGCGGGATCAGGCCAGTGGCCCCTCCAGTCCAACACTCTTCTGTGTCACACAGTGGCCAGAAACACCAGGTGCCCTCAGGAGGTCCAGCAGTGGGGCCGGGACACCAGGAGCCCCTCCCACTGTTGCCCCCCCCTTAAGCACCAAGAATACAGAGCATCTCTTGCCCCCCAGACATAAGAACATAAGAGAGAAGCCAGTGTTGGTTCAGGCCAAAGGCCCCTCCAGTCCAACACTCTGTCTGTCACACAGTGGCCAAAAACACCAGGTGTCCTCAGGAGGTCCAGCAGTGGGGCCGGGACACCAGAAGCCCTCCCACTGTTCCCCCCCCCCAAGCACCAAGGGTACAGAGCACCCCTTGCCCCAAACGGAGAGTTCCTATCTATACCTTGGGGCTAATAGCCACTGATAGACCTCTGCTCCATAAGAACATAAGAGAAGCCCATGTTGGATCAGGCCAGTGGCCCATCTAGTCCAACACTCTTCTGTCACACAGTGGCCAGAAATCCCAGGGGCCATCAGGAGGTCCAGCAGTGGGGCCAGGAGGACACTAGAAGAGCATCACTTGCCCCAGACATAAGAACATGAGTGAAGCCCATGCTGGATCAGGCCAATGGCCCCTCCAGTCCAACACTCTGTGTCAGGCAGTGGCTAAAAACACCAGGGGCCCTGAGGAGGTCCAGCAGTGGGGCCGGGACTCCAGAAGCCCTCCCACTGTTGCCCCTCCCCCTCCCAAGCACCCAGAAGACAGAGCATCCCTTGCCCCAGTCATAAGAACATGAGAGAGAAGCCCGTGTTGGGTCAGGCCAGTGGCTGTGTTCCGCAAGCTGTCCTTTGGCGTGGGGCCTGGGGGTCTCCTGGCACTGCCGCTCATCTTCAGACCACGGAGGTCACTTCCCCTGGAGAAAAATGGACGCTTGGGAGGGTGGACTCTGCGCCCCACTGAGGCCCCCGTCCTCTCCAAGCTCCACCCCCAAATGGGATGAAGGCAGCTGGTGGGGCCTGTGAATGGCAGCAGATTAGCATACAGATGTGAGAACTAAATTTGAGCTCAGTGGGCCACCTTTAAGACCAACAAAGTTTAATTCTGGGTCTACGTGAACACTGAGTGACTTAGCGTGTGTAGATGCGCACGTCTTCAGATACATTAAAACGGACTTCCTTATATCTGTATGCTAATTCGCTGCTACACTCTGGTCTTACCAGCTGCCTTAATCTTCCAAAAGTCTTTGTCTTTTATTGAAAAAAGAAACCGTTCTCCTTATTAGAAATTAGAAAAGACAAGCCAGTGAAAATTAACCCCAGATCTACTGCCAAAAAACGGTTAAAACTCTCACGACTTCTCAACTTTATTAGAGTAAGTAAAATTTAAAGCACAAGCCAGCTTTCAGGTTATTGTATTCAACCTGCTTTTAAGGATTTCCCCCATAAACCCAAGTCTATTAACATCTACGGGAAAATCTCACCTAATCTCTTCTGAGAGTTTTATCCAGAGAAATCTGATTTGCTTATCACATCAATGCATTTATATAGAAAGCAATCATGGAGATAATCTATCGCTCTTATCTATCGATGAGATAATCACACAGGTGCCGATAAGGTTACATCTGATACGAGCTCACTATCTTTTTTTAAAGCAAGATCAAAAGACCAAACTTATTAAAAGGCAATAAATCTAGTGTTTCAGTAACTGTTTTGATTAGCTGTCAAATCAAAAGAAAAACCTTCTGTGACCAGAGTTGACCAGTAGCTGACCCTGGTTTGAACACTGTCTCTAGTGGAATGGCTGCAGGATCCTCAAGTAAACCTGTGATATAATCAACATATTGCTACACAACACATCATTACAATGTGGAATCTGCTGCCTGAGGATGTGGTGATGGCCACAGGCGATCAAATTCACGGAGGATAAGTGGTTTTACTGGTATTCAGTACCAACTCTGTCAGCCGCCCTGAGCGTGCTCGCGGGAAGGGCGGGGCACGAATGGAATGAATGAATGAATGAATACTGGCCATGACGGCTAAAGGGAACCTCCCCATTCAGAGGCAGTCAACCTCTGAATCCCAGTGCCAGGAGGCAAGCTCCGGATGGCCTCGGCCTCTCTGCCCTGTTGCTGGCCCTCCAGAGGGACTGGCTGGCCCCTGTGTGAGACAGGAGGCTGGACTGGAGGGACCCTCCCTGGTCTGGCCCAGCAGGGCTCTTCTGGTGTCCTTCTCAGGGGAAGGCCTCGGCCTCCCTGCCCTGTTGCTGGCCCTTCAGAGGGACTGGCTGGCCCCTGTGTGAGACGGGAGGCTGGACTGGAGGGACCCTCCCTGGTCTTATCCCTCAAGGCTTTTCTTAGAAGTGGGGTGGGGAGGCTGACTTTTCCACCCTGAAACTGGTCAACCGGCCTGCCACCTGGCTCTGCCCTCCCCTCTGGCCCCTGGAGTACTTCCTGAGAGTATCTGAAGGTGGAGGGAGGTGGGCCACTGATGCTTTGAGTGGCAGTGGTTGCTGCCGGGGAGTCAGGCAGAGAAGCGTCTTTACTGGCTCTTGTTCCCTGAGTTCCTTAAAGTTGGGGGGGGGGCCTTGGCATGCTGGGTGTGTAGGGGCTCTGGCCCCTCCAGTGGGGCTCTGCGCTGGCCTCCTCCAGGTTAGGCAGATCATGAGAGGGACGGCAGGAAGGGTTGCAGCCTCAGGGCTTAGTTCTTGTGGCCCTTTCTTACACGCCCAGGGAAATGCTGATCGCCACTTTGGGGTCAGGAAGCAGTTTTTCTCCAGGCCCGTTGGCCAGGGATCCTGGAGGTTTTTGGTCATCTTCTCGGTGTGGACCAGCAGTCACTGGGGGTGCATGGGGGGTATTTATGAGTTTCCTGCATTGTGCAGGGGTGTCATGATCTATGTAGGACTGGGAGACAAGGCCTAGAGGCCTAGGCCCCAGGAGACCTGTGTGGGAATGGAAAGCAGAAACAGCCTACAGTCCCCACCATGCTTAGTGATGGTTATAACCAGTCGGTGTTCAGGGATTGTGTGAGGAGAATGTGACTTAAGCTTTGTGGGCTGTGGAACTGCGTTCTTTTGCTCTTCTGCGTTCTTCCCTCTCACAGAGTTAAACTGAGGGGACAGTCTGGTCTGAGAGAAAGATCCCTCACTTGGGACAGAGTGAGCACAGGCAAGAGGCCTGGTATAAGAAGGCTGTGGGCCTTGAATAGTAACCCATTAAGAGAAGTAGCCACGTTAGATTTGTTTATTTTTGCCTTTAGACACTGTTATATATTTTAAAGCACCTTGTCTTGTTTTCCTTGCCCCCCAGTACTGTATTAATAAACCATTTAATTGTTCTCTGCCTGGTCAATCACGCCTATGGGGGGGGGGATTTGGGTTGGGCTTGGGAGGGTACTCTGGGCCTTCCCAAGGGACTCTTAAGTCCAGAGTGGTGGCAGACGAAGGTAGCAACCCACTGGGGGTCATGACAAGGGGGTTGGACTGGGTGTCCCTGGAGGTCCCTTCCAACTCTATGGTTCTGTGATTCCTGGCTTGCCACTCACGTGAGGCTCTCTTCTCCCTCTCCCCCCCCCACCTTGTGTTGCAGCTGGACAGCAGCCTGGTGCAGATCCAGGAGCTGGCCGTGAGCGTGTGCAAGAAACTGCACTTGGCCCGCCCGGAGGTGTGCGAGGATATCATCCGGCTCTTTGAGCCCGACGTGCTGGCCGCCTGGACCCGCTCCATCCTGCGCCCCTCCGAGATCTGCGGGCTCCTGGTGGGCCCCGACTGTGGCCACTGGGACATCTACTCCGACTGGAACGTCACGCTGCCCGACGTGCCCAAGCCCCCCGTGCGTCCCCCAGTGCCCCCACGGCCCAGCGCCCCCACGGCCCGAGTGCTCTTCCTCACCGACCTGCACTGGGACCAGGGCTACCTGCCAGGCAGCGACCCCGCCTGCAAGGACCCCTTGTGCTGCCGAGGGGGGCAGCCCCGGGGGGCGGCGGCCGGCTACTGGGGCACCTACGGCAAGTGTGACCTGCCGCTCCACACCCTGGAGAGCCTCCTCCAGCACCTGGCCGCCACCGGCCCTTACGACGTGGCCTACTGGACCGGAGACATCCCGGCACACAACGTCTGGGAGCAGAGCCGGGCGGACCAGCTGCATGCCCTGACCACCGTGACGGCCCTCATCCAGAAGTACCTGGGGCCACTGCCCGTCTACCCGGCCGTGGGCAACCACGAATCTGTGCCCGTGAATTCCTTCCCGCCCCCCCACCTGCCCGGCAACCACTCCTCCGCCTGGCTGTACGATGCCATGGCCCAGGCCTGGCGCCAGTGGCTGCCTCCGGAGGCCCTGGAAACACTCAGGCAAGCGGTGGGCCCTGGGTGGGCGCCGTGGGCGGGCACTGGGGCACGGGGAGGAGGGGGAGGGGCAGACGGGTGGGTCGTGTCACATCTTGGCTGGAGAAGGGAATTCAAGTCCAGGAGCCCCCCGAGAGACGAAAAAGCATGATATTTTGTGAGCCGAAGCGCATTCTGTCCGGTGCCAGTGAGGTTGTGGGTCCACCTGCCCGAGATCCGGGTCAGAAGACGGGGAGGGCCGTGCAGAGAAGGGGAATGCCCTCCTGTCTCCTGGGAGAGGCCAGTGGTGGGGCGGGGCCCCTGGGCAGGAGGGCAGGCAGCTTTTGTCCCCGCTGAGCTGGATCCTCCTGCGTTCGAGAGGACCATCCGGAGCGATCAAAGTCCGTGGCCTTCCCTACGGGGTTGTCAGCTGCACAGTGACCTTGGATCAGTCACAAGGTCTCTCAGGGCTGTTCTCACAGGAGTCGTCCTGTCAAGAGCTCTCTCAGCCCCGCCCACCTCACAGGGGGGGTCTGTTGTGGGGAGGGGAAGGGAAAGGAGATTGTCAGCCGCTCTGAGACTCCACATGAAGGGTGGGGTATAGATCCAATATCCTCTTCTTCTTCCCAGTACCTGGATGGTAGAGAACCACACAGAGCCGGGAAGCTGCAGTGTGTGTGGGGGGGGTGGGCCGGCCGGGGGGGGGGAATAACTGCCTGGCCTCTCCCTCCACCCAGAGGCCTGATTCTGTCTCCTGGCTCTCCCTGCGACAGGGTGGGGGGCTTCTACACCCTCCGGGTCTGGCCGGGCCTCCGCCTCGTCTCCCTCAACATGAATTTCTGCTCCGAGACCAACTTCTGGCTCTTGATCAACTCAACGGATCCCGCCGGGCAGCTGCAGTGGCTGGTGAAGGTCTTGCTGGAGGCAGAGGAGGGCGGGGAGCACGGAGGGGAGGGGGCCGCAGGGGCCCACGTGGCCTCCCACCTGCCCCATCCTGACCGGTGGCTCTCGCCTGCAGGTTCACATCATCGGCCACATCCCTCCCTCTCACTGCATGCGCAGCTGGAGCTGGAACTATTACCACATCATCAACAGGTGAGAGGGTCTCTGGGCAGGTGTGGGGCTTGGCTAGGGTCCTGGGCCAGTGGTTCCTTCAAGCTGCAGAGTCCTGTGAGCAAGAATCCTGCTTCGTGAGCTCCTGGCTTGAGAGTTGTGAGCATCAATCAGTTTGCTCTGGAGCCATCCTTCCTGAGCTGAGAGAAAAATTGAGCGGAGACACGAATGTGTGAGCCGGAGGCTAAAAAGCTGTGAGCTGCCTCACGCTCACTCGGCTTAGAGGGACCCCTGGTCCTGGGCAAGCCTCCCTCCCTCCCTCTGCGGGAGGCCCTGGTGCTGGCAAAGCCGCCCTCCCTCTTCTGGGGGTTCCCGCGCTTTCCCCCGCTCTGGTTTGCCGTGGCCCAACCCAACCCTCTCCCCCTCCAGAGTGCCGTCTGCCCCGGGCCGAGTGCTCCCGCTGCCCAAGCACCCGGTAAGGCCCTTGAAGGGCAATGAGCACAAAGGCGCCCAGCCACAAAACCATTCCGGACCACGAAAGCAAACCAGACAGGCCAGAGCGGGCCGGGACACCCCCTCTTCCCTCCCCACCCACCCCGCCCGGGCAGGAGAGCACAGGGGGTGTGCTTCTTGGCCTCCCGACAATCTGGGCAGGGCTTGGGGGGGATGGGGGGGGGAGTTGTCTGAACACAGACATGTCGGTAGGGGCGGGGCTTGCATGAGCCTCCAATCCACTGCCTCGAAAAACCTGTCCTTTCCTTTCAAGCGTCTTGGGAAATTACTTTTTCAGACGGCTCCAAAGGCTTCTGTCTCCATAACAAACAGCCAGGAGCACAATGGTTGGGGACGAATTGGGGACACCCACCCACCTTTGTGCTCAGCAATGCCAGATTTGGGCTTTTTAAGTCACAGCTTTGCTTCAATCACCTTGCTATTTTTTGCCACCTGAGTCTTCCCTGACTGCAGCTTTTGAATATTCACGATGGAAGGTAAAC